AGCCAATACGCCCCAAGTCTCAGGTAGCAGTTATTGTAATCCCAAACTTGGAACACTTCTTACCTATACGATTGTCCAAGAAACATAGGCGGATTGGCTTGATTTTTCTCACGATGTTCCAAGGAATCATCTCGGCCCGCTCTTTCTTGTCAGGAAACCATAAGGCCAGATATCGCGTAGTCAGTTGTATGCCATTTCGGATCACTTTCCCGTCCTGGAAAGTGAAAGTCGTCATGAAAATAGGAAAATAAATAGCAGTCGTTAGAGCTCACCTCTGGATCTCCATCGCCAATGTCATCCGCGTCGGTCCTAAGAGGATTGTTATCGTTCGTTGTCTTCTTCACTGAACAGATTCGGATAGAGTCGTTGGAAACGTTCGCACATTCGCGTACGAAGCTCTTCGACTTCAGTTTGTCGGTCGTAGTTGGCGACTTCATGAATACTCATCCCCTCCAATCGTACGGTTTCACGTTCCAGTTGATCGACAATGCTGATGTACTCAACTTGGTCATGATCTTCACTGTAACCTTCTTCAGGAGATGGTGGAGGTGGTGGAGGAACAGGTCCGATTTCTTTGTCCTAGTTGGACCTTTTTGCTCGAATGGTGGGCCTTTCGGTCGTGGTTCTTCCTCAGTTGGTTTTGGAGTTTCCCGCACAACCGATGCTGACTCCAAATCAACACTTGTTTCGTAATCCGTATGACTTGAAGAAGACAATGATCGTAGTGATCGCTCCAGTGTGATCGAAGACTCAGAATTGTAGCCTTCTTCACTTTCTTGAATAGGGAGCACTGCGGGCTGAGCCGGATCACTTGGGGGGACCTCCACAAGCAATCCAGGTGGAGGCTGCGGTTCATAGACATTGATGCCCCAGGGTTGTTGGTAAGAAAGTGGCTGTGGTAGGCTACCAGCCGGTCGAAATTGTGGCACGTATGAGGCTTGTCCAGGAGGTGGAAACTGCTGGTGGAGTTGATGAATCGGTGGTCCTTGATATATGGGTGGTGGAGCATTGAAGAACATTGGTGGATCTGGAGCAGGCCGTCTAGGAGGCTGAGCGTTTTGCCCCACAAGAACGTGCTGAGGAACCTGCTGTGGAGGATACTGAGATGATGTGGAAGGAAGCATTGATGGATGAAAAGAAGGTCCTGCGACTTGGCCTGGATGGTACAAGTTACCAGCGTAATTCATCGGTATTTGCTGTGGTGGACGCTGGTATTGCTGCACATTCTGAACGTTGATGAGTTGAGAAGGCCTCATATAAGGGGGAATCTGAGGTCGAAGAAGGGCTTGTCGCTCTTGAACTGGTGGGGCTCGATACGCCGGTTTACTAGAAAGTTTACTGTATGTTTGAGAAGTTCGAGTTTCGGCTTGAGCTCCTTCTCCATCACCTTCATCACCGGAGTCTCGCTCAGCTCGCTGAAGCATTGCAAAAAGCCTGTCCACAATGGAAACACGACCATCGGATTCGTCGGTGTCCAACTGAGCCACTTCTTCGCCATTGTTTGATTTCTTCACTTCAAAATTCTCTGGCGAATTATACTCTTCTGAACTTGAATAGAATGCTTCCATGATCCAGTTCTCATCGTAGTTCTTCGGGCTTTCATAGCGTATATTCTCAGCATCTTTCCGCGACGCTTTCCTAGCTGGTTGTCCTACCATAAGGAACATTTCCTGTGGGTTGAGATTTGAACCATCACTCTTTTCCGATGGGGAACGCAGATATTGATTCTCAGTTGACAATGGAGCAGAGATTGGATGTACTGAGTCAGGAGCACATTCTGGTGTGGAAAATCGAGCTTCTTCTTGGGGAGACTGAGCATTCATTGCATCATCCCCAGATGACCTGGTTTCCATCAAAGATTCTGGCTGAAGCTGAGCCTCATCGGGCGATAGCGGGATGTTCAACAAAGGCTCTGGCTCAAGTTGTGTACCAGGAGGCGACTGGACGTCCATCAGTGGTGCAGAAGCGAACAATTTATCGTCAGGAGATAAAGGAATGTTCAGCATAGGCTCTTGTTCAAATGGAGCATCACCAGGAGGTAAAGGAATATTCAACAAAGAATCTGGATCAAGTTGAGTTCCACCGAATGGAGATTGAGGATCGATCACAGGCTTTGCTGAGCTAAGCTGAGCATCAGGAGGTAACGGGATATCCAAGAAAGATCCTGGCTCATATTGAACATCACCAAAAGGAGACTGAATGTCCATCACAGGATCTGACGCTTGGACATCAGACGTATATGAAAAATTTGATGGAACAGAAGCAGGAGCATTCAAAAAGAGATTTTCTGCAGCTTCAAAATTCTCTTGGCCGTAAGTGTGGAGAATCTTCCAAGTATTTGGATACAGGCGGATTATTAGAATCCATTACTCGTCGTGGATTATAGGTGTAACCATATGCGGAAGAAGAATCGTCTACTTCATAAGAAATTTGGCCATATGTTGAGAAATTGAGAAATGTCGGTTGTCCCAAAGAAACTTCGTCGAAAGAATTTGGTTGTGGAATGTAATATGATGAAGATGGTTGATTGGAATCGCATCTATCAACTGAACTATGTCGAGTAGTCCTTGATGCGGGTGGTGGAGAGCCTGACATGGCGATTCTTTGAATAGAGCTGAGCGCGAGAGTAACGGCAGAGACGCAGAGTGCTGCACTTATGTTTTCATCGTGGGTGGGCGCGAATTGGGAGGTCGTCAGCGCGATAATTGTCAGGATCCTCAGGCTGGCGAGGCCGTTTTTGGGTCATTTCTTGGAGAAGGAAGTCATTTGAGGGCACTAAAACGTCGATATAGTAAAGGCTGTGCACGCAATTCCTCACAGACCCTGATTCGGTCTCGGCGCTAGTGATATTTCCAATAGGGATTTATGCGAGAATTCATAGCCATACCATGCTATGGCTATGTTGATAGCCAGTGCCGGTTCTAACGTAGTTGGGGGCTCGCGGCGAGTGATGACTCATCGGCTCTTCACTCATCGGCATACTTGAAGCGCGAATCTAGCAGCCAAATTAGAATAAAACAAACAAGATTCACCAGGAACTTGCTGAGAATGCCCACAGAAGCTGAAAACAAATGGACTTCGAGTAACAGGTGAAGTGAATTGGTGGGGTGAAATGCCTTGTGATTCTATTGCGTGAAAACCGCTCAAGATTCAATTTCTGCGATTTCCTAGTGAGCTATTAGAGTAGATTCCTCTTTGGGTTCTGCTCCAACTCATTTAATAGTGTTACTTTCACTTTTTTCACCGTCAAAAGGGTTCACCTAAGGCCGGAAATCCCTCGGTAGATTAGACAAAGTATCTTCAGTCTAGCAGTTGTTCTCTGCGCAAGCTGTCTGCGTTAACTGTTTTACCTTTTGCCTATATAGCGACTTGAGGGGTGTTATTCATGCTCTAAACCACGAAAAAAATACTCCTATTTTGCGAGGAGGAGCAGAAGAGGCAGATTGAGTCATTCACTCGCTGCGAGCCGCGTGGTCCGCCGGCCTCGCCCCGCAAATACGTTTCGCACCGACCCAGCGCCGAAGCTGAAGAATGCGAAGCAAACTGGAGCAATCAGGGAAAGGAAATAAATACTAAACACTCTGACAAATCCGCACAATTTTTTGGAGCGGCGCGGTCAAAGGGTCCATTTGTATCCTCTTCGCCAGTTCTCCCACTTCCCCTTCAGTTCTTCTGAAACATTCAGTGGACGAAGTGGGTGGCGTGTGCCTTGAGGAATCACACAGATCATCAATGCCGTGATTTTTTTCATTCAATTTAACATTCATTTTTGGGTCGCGCGATGCGCTTCTGCGGATACGGTCTTAAACTCTGTGGGGCTGAGTAGTATAGCCCGGCCGTGATATTCTGATAGTTACATTGCAGTGTAAATGCGAGATTCAAAGTCGCTATCATGGAGTTTTGATAGGGTATTTGACCGTAGTTTGGCATGATCAGTGATTTGTTAGTTGGATGGCGATTGTTGCCGTAGGCTGTCCGCCGTGGGTCAACGAGGATAACCCCAATACAGAGCAAGGGAAAGGTCGTCACCTATCTTTATGCAGCTTTTGCACGTCGACTTTGGCTATCACCGTCTTGACGATGGGCCCGCTCCGGAACCATTCGATACGCGGTCAATTCTGGTCCGTGTAACTTGGTTCGCCCCAGTGCGCGCGGTCCATTGGGGCACCGTGCGTGGGCAGTGCGGCTCGTCGCAGTGCACAGATACGGCCTTCTTTTATTGTTTATTTATGCTCTGGGTCAGGTAAAGTTGGAAAAAATAGAAGTGGCAAGAAAAACTACCACTAAAGACTGATGATGTGTTTCACCCTGACCTCACAAAAGCCATTTCATCAGCCCTGAGAGGCCTAAGAATACGAATCGTCAAAGAATGCAACCAGGTGTCCACATGTCTACTCGAATAGTAATAACAATTTGAAAAAATAAATATGACTGAAAAAGAGGAGAGGGGTGTAGCCTTAGGTATCTAACTACGGGAGGAGCTTAAAGCAAATGACGATAGACAGAGCTTCGTCGACATCTATGAAGATACGAGTATGGCCGGCTTACCGCTTGTCAAACGCGGTAGCAAGCAAGTGCAGTATGAGGGATATTTTGCTCTGCTTTGTTGAAGTGAATGGAGTATGAATCATCCCATTTCTCGGCTCTCGCTTCTTTGCTCTTATCTTTTCTGGCTGCCTTGAACCTTTTACTTTGCAATTCTTTTCCTGACAGTTATATCTTCAGAGGTCTTTATCCACGGTCTTGGACCTGTTACGATGTCAAGGCACTGGACATTAAAGTCATTATTCGACAAGTTTCACCAGTGTTGCCAAACAACTACGAGGTAAAGTTTGGTTCCAATATATTTTTTTCGGGCGTTAGTGTTGCATACTGGGCTATTGTGGTGGCCGACCCCTGTGACAGACTTCCTTCGTTATGAACAATCATGAGGTCCTTCTGCCTTCCCGGGGAGCTCTGGGGTGGGTGAGCTGGTTCAGGAGCCGTCAACGTCAATGGGAGCTTTAAAGAACTCCTTCTGCATGAATGAATTAATCACAACACAACCAACCGTTGCACCAAGTGGCGCGGTAGTTACTCCAGCGCCTTCTTCCTCAGTAACTTGTTTTACTTTGAGCCTTGAAGGATAAAATTATGGCGAGGTCCCTTTCAGGACTCAAGTCTACCTGTAAGCTGTTTTGTTGTGACGGTCCAAAATGATAGTGCTGACGATCTTGAAGTGTCGATTGCGTTCACATTTCGTAATGGCACCGGCAATCGGCGATGGGAGAATGAGTCCGAATGCACATTTGCGAGATTTACGGACGGCAATGGTGAGATAAATCAGCGACCTGATCCATTTTTTCCATAAGTTTCTAATTTATCTGTTTCTAGTGACTGGTGTAACGTTAGCCCATACAATTTCTCAACTGCCTTGCACTTACGGTCTAGCGACGTCTTCTGATGTGAGTTTCCATGCTATCAAGAGCACTGAATACTTTGTCAACTCAATCATTGTCCTCACCCGACTAGGGATATTCATTTTCAGGCATCTTCTCCAAGTCAAATCTCAGTTTGCCATAGGTTTGATCCATCAAAATCGGGTAGCGCTGTATGGGCGTCATTGCTTGAAACTGGTGATTTACCTGTTCAGGTAGGTGATACTGATAGCGGTGTGCTTGATAAATAAGACAAAAATGCTTTGTTACGGGTAGAAGTGCTCACACCGGGCTGGGCGTGAGAAGCTGAGACTGTAAGAGGCAATCTAGCGGCGTACAGTCTTGTTTGCCGCGCATAACGGGGCGTGTCGAAAGGGTGGGCTTGGCGCGGCGCCAGCCCGTTTCTTTCCTCTTTTTTTTCGCCAAGCGACAGGGCTGTATCATATCGTCCAAGTCACTTCCACCCAATTGTGGTTCGCTTACCCGCTTCAACAACTGGTCGAGAAGGGGGCCGGCGGCGCGCCTAACTCAGCCTCACTAACACGCCCCTCATCCGCAAGAAACAAGATTGCGAGGAATAGCTCGCTCGCCCGCTAATCCTTGAGTGCAGGTTCGAGTCTGCCTGGGTCGAGACTTCTGCCCATAACTCAGCATTCTTTCGATAACTTCGAGGACGAACTACGGCATTAAGTAGCAATTATCATGGTGAATGAAGTTTAATACGCGACAAAGTTGAGCATTCCTATGATGTACCCTTTCTAGGACAACGAGTGTCCTCCGGGCTGCTCCGAGTTAGCTGTAGGTATCTGTAATCGGTTCCAAGTGGCGGCGAATAGCTCTCAGTCAAGGGACTTCGCGTTATCTTGGGATATGCCTGATGTTACATTCGGTGCATCGGCGCGGTGGTACAAGAGGTCAGTTCCCGTTGAGTTTCTTGATTTTTGTTGCCTTCTACACTTGTTGAGTTGTTACTTCTTCGAAGTTTCTATATATTATTAATATTATATGGCGCAGCTCGGCATGGTGGGGGCGCCAGATGGGGCTCAAAAAGCTTGTACAGGCACTGTGTGAGGGCCTGTAAATTCCTGTAATCAAAGTGCCTCAGTAGAATTATTTCGCAGCTTCACAAGAGTTGCCGGAGTGAGACATGTCAGTCAACTACTAGTACTCCTTCCCTTACCCCCCCCCCCTCAAAGCTGAACTGTGCCTATTATTCATATAAACCACGCTTAGCAATAGTTGAGTTCAGTTGGAGTTTGTAAAGAATTCGAGCAATTTTTGTTTGAGTTCTTTGCCAATGATTGATTTGTGAATAGATCATACTAAGGTAAAAAGTAGAGGCAACCAATCTTGATCGGCATAGTTTCACTGCTTTGCAGCGCTTCTTGCCTAGCTTCACAAAAGATTCCCGAGTGGCTCATACTGTCCGTGTCCAGATGCCATGCGCGCGAACGAGAGTCGGAAAATCCCTGGATGAAATGCAGAATCCGGTTCTGGAAACATCTATAACGGCTCCTGCAATGGTATCAAATTCGGCCAATTCAACGCAGCTCGTACTTTTATGACTGATGGATGGATCGGTAAGACATGTCCTTGGGATAACAATTTTCAACTTACAAGTTGTATGTTTTAGTTGTGGTTCGAATTTGACGATAACTGGTCCAAGAGCGAAACTCACTTAAGTGACTATACGAAGGGTCTTATGCGAAACATGTATGGGCGATTCGGTGTATACTGAGTGTGAGTCTATACTTCTTTTGAGCGCCTCGATTCATTCCACGGGGATATTGCTTTTAGCGAGAGATTTTTCCAGCTTGGGCAAAGGTACGCATGGTGAGAACACCTTAATGACTTCACTTTTATGCTTCATTTGCTTTAGCTCAACTATGGCCGAATATTGAATTAACAGTTCAGGCAGAGTTCAGTGAGTAATATTTTTGAACATTTTGGTTCATATCCTTTTCTTAGGAGGTTCATCACAGTTCGGACTTGGGGTGGAGGCATGAATGTGGCTTTTGGCTACTTCCATCGACAAGTCAAGTATAGATGCTGCTCGGAATCTTGTGGAAAGTGAGCAGCTAAGTTTTTGGGGAACCGTGCCAACTCTTGTGAGGAATACCTTGCCAACCCTTGTAAAAACAATGAACCTCGACCGGTCTGAACTTATTCCCATGGCACAAAAAATGCGCCTCCCGACTAGGAATGATTGGCAGTCCAGAGACTCATTTATGCGTTAAGGGCGTGGGTTGAGTGTTGTTGGAGTGGACGAGACTGTGCTGTCCCTTGGTGAAAGCTCGGCGAGTAATGAATTCATTTCAGCCGATCATATTGAACACTCTGTGGATACCAACATTACGTTTCACATGGAGGGTGATGTAGCGCGACTGAAAACCGGCAGTCGAGTACCGCATGACTTAGGAAATCCGGGTCTGTTTCAGTGATTATATAGTTCGCACTTACTTGAATTACTTAAAGGCAACTTTCACGATAAATCTCAAAGACGAGTAGGATTAATACGCCTGGCAGGACGGAATTCCGCGACCCTGAGCAGGCGCTGCGTAGCGCCTTTTCCAAGGAAGGTACCCTTATAAGGGCCCTATCAAGCTACAACATACCGACCCGAACGCCCACCACGCCCGCCCGCCCACAAATGGACGACCGTTCCTGATGCTCGTATTGCTTCATTTGCTAAGTAAATATGAAGCGAAGGGATTGGTATGAAGCGGCTGCGGTGCTGCATGGATACATAAGTACACACATGCAGCCATATATACCGTAGCGTTTCAGCGTGTGCCTACGGGAAACTCGTCCATTGCTTTTCAAGTCACTGAGAACGAAGGCTTTTTCTTCGCAGGATTTTGACCGTTTCACTCCGTTCTTTCGCCATTTCCCCACTATATAGCGCCCTGCTAGCATTTTAGGTCGAGTGCCAAATTATCGTGCCAACTGCCTTTAATGTCTGCTTTGTTAGTATCCCTTACATTACTAGTTCGCTTAGCAATTCCTTTATTTTCCATATGAGAGTTTTTGAAAACTCGGTAGTCATGTGTTTGCGAAGCGTCACACCACAATTACATTTTAGGAACTATCCACAAGATTCATTTTTTTGCGCATAATAGTTGTTATAGTAACTACAGCTCCTTTTAATGTTTCACCTGTTTCAGCTGATGAGCCGTGGCTATGTACAAATGCTTACGTGATGCATGATACGGGTAAATGGAAGGATCTCAATTTGAAATATGTGCTCACATCGTGGCGAGACCATGTTGCATTACCTCGACTCCCAGGAGATAACTCTTTCCTTGAGCATTCTTGGCCTGCAGTTCAGGTTGGTTAACTTGCTCGTAATTGTAAAAGGGTAATGGATGAAATTTTCGCCGTCATTGATAAATTTTTGGGGATACGGCACGCATTCTGCTTCCATTCAAAATCGTAGTGGCTTATTGAATGCGATGTGGCCTATACAATGACTTGCGGGGGCCAGCCGATGTACAAGTCAGTGTTCTTATCCTTCTAGACCTGCTATCAATTTACCATCTCCGGAGGAAAGAAGGTTTATCTGGCCTGGGCGAGAGCCTGTTCGAAGATTTGATCCTTTGATTGGTCGCGTGGTAAGCATGCCGCGTCACTACACCACCTACGCCAGGGGTAATTATTCTATTCCAGTAATTATGGATTGCCACTACACAGTCACACCGTTGCTTTGGATCACTCCGCTTTTGGGGACTTTTTAGCGGGAAGGAGGGGTCGCATCGAGCTGTAACTATAATAAGTACTGCCAGGGCACGCTGTAGGTTTGGGTTCTACAGGAGAGGGGACCGTATTTTGTTGCTGGAGAGCGGAGAGGGCCATGTTGTGTTGAGGCAAATGTTTCGGATGTTGACCTTTTCCGGGGTGTTTCACGGCTAGATGTTCTATGCTGGGAGCGTTCACGTTGATCTCTCCATTTTCTTCTTCGGGGTGAACCACCTGGCACATTAGCTTTTCTCTTGAAACCCCGCTACTTAGACTCCTGCTTTTGGGATCTCTCAAAATCGGTGTAACCAACCCAGTTTTAGTATTCAAATCTGAACGTCCAAGAAAAAAAAAGTGTAAACCTTTTCCAGAAACTGATGGCGGAAGCGCTGCAAGAGTGGGATCAAGATTCCGATGGAATGATTGAAAATTTCGGAAAAGCCGATCAAACTTATCCATCATGCGAATGATGAAGCGTAGGTTGGAGTGTATCTACCATTGAAGTCTTACCCTTCTTGATTATCGAATATACCTTACTATCTGCGCTTATGTGGTTTCTCTCTGGCTGGCATCCTTGCGTTTGTCGGCTGAAATGGCTCGACGCTTGTGCTAGTTGCCAGAAAAGTTTGAAAAGCTCAGCTATGAACACACGCTGACAGAGCGAAGAAAGGTCGTCTCAAAATATGATTTTATGAGATCTCGTATTACTTATGAGATCTTATGGAGTAGATAAGTTTCAGCTGAGTGGCATATTTCAGGTGTTTATCGACAAATTGTGGACGGGTTCGTATTTTCGATTCTGCGAGAGGTCTCGGAGTAGGGAAACTATTATGGCTGATCAATTGTGTGGCGTGTGGTTCCTGCAGTCGGTGTCACCTCATTTAGCAGGCTGCATGAAGTATGATCTAGTGACAGTGATTCATTCTAAATTGAGAGCTCGTTTTGGATGTGATTCATACAAAACTCTCCCCCCTTTTCGTTCTCCAGTTTTTTTTTTTTTTTTTTTTTTGGCAGTTTGAGGAAGGGCTTATAACGGTTCAGCTTGCGCGTCAGATTTGCTGGGGCCTCATTTAATGAAGTGCCTAATACCAAAAATTGTGAAAAATCTCGTGTGCAGGGTATTTAAACATCACTGTTGCGAAAATATTAGAGAAGCGTTTCAGACTTCTGCGCTCGCCGCGATCGTGCTTACGTGTGGTGAAATTATTACACCGGGAGGGGTCATGTTCGTTCGTGTTCAACTCAACTCAACAAACAACAACAACAAAGTTCTGGGGAGTCGTACTGATATCACCATTTCTCACATCACGATGCTGTATCCTGCCTCCATAGGCAGTTCCAAAAACGATATAAAAGTAGTTCGACCTTTTTTGATGTCTTTTATTCCGTGTTCATATTCGCAATACTGACGTTTGCAGAAACCGTCGAAAGGAAAGGTTGTGTATAGACCTGGAGGAGAGAACAAACAAAGCAAAACACAAGTACAAAAGTGAAAGTGATATCTGGAGAACTGGCAAAATTCGGGGAAAGGGAGAGAGAAACAACATCACCCGCTGTTGAAAGTTCTGCGTGTCTTACTTTTGGAACAAGATGTTCAATACTCCGCTTGAACGTACTCAGATGCAAAATTCAGTATAATAATTAGCATATTGTATATTTAGTACTATTTTACATAGGAAATAATAAATAACTCAAAGATATTTCGAAACGTTCCTTAAAATTAGGAGGGCGTTATGTACACAAAGGAAGAAAGAAGGAAAAGGAAAAAAGAACAGGAACAATAAACATGAACGAACATGACCCCCTCCCGGTGTAATTTCACCCACAGTAGCGCGATCGCGCGATCCAAATCACGCGATGGCTGCATCGCGCGATGCGCGAAAAATCGAACATGCGCTCATTACTTTCATTCTTTGCGCTGGGCTAATGGAGGACACTACGATTCTCTTCTTGGCTTAGTTTTAGCAGAGCGCGCAGATAATCATAGTGTTCTACGCTAGCGCCAGCGCCGAGAATGAATATCATACTCGTAATCACGATCTCAAATTACCCCTGTATAGAAGCTTTCAGCGGATTTGGTGATCTAGGCATCATAAAGGCTGCATCCAAAGCTGGGCGCGTCCTAAACGGCATCAGCCTGCGAATCCTTCTTTGGAGACGAATTTAATAGACAATCTGGCTTTAGTTACAGAAAGCGGCTAATAAGAACCTATCAAAAAGTTAACACAGCTCACTACAGCTTTTGCCAAATCATATGGTGCGCACGGCTATGAAAACAATTTACGATTATAATGTGTGCCGATTTGCGGGCGGCAAAATGGGAGCTGTAAATGGAATGCGACCTGATGGACGTGTCGATAGCGGAGTCCATTCAGGTAATTAATTGGCTTAGCTAGCTTGGTGGGGGAGGGCGGGATAGTGTCATCGAAGCGTGCAGGTCACCTTTGTGAGAACTGTAACTTTTTTTGTGACCGAAGGTGCTTGCTTCAGCCAGCCTTTCGCCTGCTCATAATCAGAAATTTCACAAGGACCGTTTTGTTATTCCAGGATCACTCTATTAAAATAAACTGGTGAAGCTTGTAAAACCCGCTTTACAGGGTTGACAAACACTGGAGTGCTGTGCATTGACTATTCTTTTTTTTAGGCTGATGAAGTGTGGACCGGTGTAACGTATGCTGTAGCAGCTTTCTTGTTGCAATTAGGTGAAGTGGATAAAGCATTCCATACGGCTTCAGGCTGTTATGATGCATGCTTCGCCCACGTGCTGGCTTGCAAGTATCAAACACCGGAAGCGCTGTATGAAACCAGGTACTGACGCTAATATATTGTCTCTGATTTATGTGTTTAGTATCGGTTTTTTTCCTCCTGATGGGAGTGGGCACGATTGCTGTTTGTGGTCGGTTGTTGCTATCGCCATTGGTGGAAGGCTGCGGAATGGCTTTCGGCCACGCCCCAACCGCGATGCGACGCCCGCGCCCAGAAGCGTCGTTCCTAGCTGCACTTCAAGAATAATCAAAATCGAGCTCCATCAGTTGAAGAGAAGGGGTACCACGCATGTGATGCAGCTGTGTCTGACTGTATTTGTTCCAGATTCTACCGTGCGATCGGCTATATGCGTCCATTGAGTATGTTGGTGGGAATTTATGCAGTGGGCGATTCAACGTCATTCTGATCTGAACCCACCGAAGTTGTCCATAACGCCTGTAATGGAAATACGAGCCTCCACACAACAACTTCTCCTAACTCGTGTATGCGACGATTCAGCCAGTGAAGGCTATAACACAAGCGATGAGAGAGATCCAGAAGCCAGCAGCAGCAAAGGCACCGCTGCGACGGACAGCACTGCTGGAAGTTGTGATGCAATGTGCGTACGCTAGAAGGTTACTGTAGATCAGAGTGTTTTTGTGATAATTATTTAATTGAGAACTGCGAAGCAGAGTGAAACCCACTTGATTCGGTTACGTTGTGCGGATTACAGTGCAGTCATCGTTAAACCGCATTGTCATTTTCGTTTTCAATCAGGTGACAGGAAAAGGTGGGCATTCTTTCCTCGTCTTTAGGGTACTAACTGGTTCAGTTGGTTCAGTTGCTGCCCTGCGTTTCGCTTGGAGTTATTGCACGGGTACACACTGGAAATCAAAGGCAGCTTCGGGTTGAAAAAAATGGGTAGATGTGCGGCTCAAATGCTAATGACAACGTAGTAAGTGATATATTAGTGAAAAAAAACAGAAAAAACCCGCCCGAAGTACCCCATATAGAACAACCGTACCGTCAGCTAGTGGGCGTTGCCATGGCCAGTGGGCGGGGCCGCTATTCCGTCGCGAGCGGGCGGCGCTCCCTAACGTATCCTTGAGCTGCGAAAGTAATACAGCCTCCATGCTTGCAGGCAAGGCATTCTAAAAGAAGGCGCCCGAACAGGGGCGTGCATCGTGAAAGTAGGAGATTTATCCCGAAAAGCTGAGGTTCCCTCCCCTTGAAAAGCTGCTGATTCCGTTTTGCGTGCTTTTGTTCCAATTCTCCCGGAGCATCCGTTCCGTGCTTAGTGGTTCACAGTGATATGCTCCAAGCTCTCACTGCTTAAGCTTTAGTAAACTACTACCGGTCTTTTTCTTGTCTCGTTTATTCAGAAAAAGGGATGCACTTGTGGGTGGTGTCTATAACGACAAAATAGTGGTGTTTGTTGTTCTCCGCCCATTCACAGGGACGTTTACCGAGAAATCGTACACAGGTCGCTTTTTTCTACTCTAGGGCGCGTTCATACTTCGCGATGCGAGCGTTTAGATCGCGTGATCGGTCGCTCGAGCGTTTGGATCGCGCGATCGGATCGAAGAAAAGAACGTTTGGGTTCCTTATTCTTCACCACATTCACTAAAAAAACGTTGGATGC